TATCTCATAATTTTTGGAAGTTCTTTTCATGGTTTCTTCTTTCTGTGGTTCACTTTATTTTGAAGATTACATACTTTAAAAAAATATTTTAGTTCTAGATGGACATAATACCTTTATTTTTTATTTTTACATGGTTCCGGGGATCCAACCCAGTGCCTCGCATATGCTAGGCAAGCGCCGTACCACTGAGCCACAACCCTGACCCCTCATATTTTGTTTTTATTGCCTGAGGTTCTGTATTCCAAGTGGTCTAGTCTGTGAGTGATGCTTTCTATTGAATTTTTCATTTGGTTTACTGTTTCCTTCCTTTCAAGGACTTTTTTTTTCCCCCCAGAATATCTCTTTACTAAAGTGATCTTTTGCTACCTTTATTTCTTCTCTTACATCATCCTTTACTTCACAGATCAGTTTAACTATGTACATTCTAAACTCCTTCTCTGATGGATTCTGTTACTGGAGTATCTTGGTTTGCTTGGGGCAATTTGTTCCCTTGCTTTTTCATGTTGTTTATGTGTCTATCTATCTAACAGTATGGATCTGAGGGAGTATAGTTTCTACCCTGTGGACTTTTCTACCCAGTGTCCCTGAAGGTTTCCGGTACCTCATTGTTTAGTCATTGTTTATGGGGAGACAAACAATTACAACCAATGCAAACAATGTACAGCATTAAACCAAATAGTTTCTACTATGATGTCTATGGTGTTAATTATCATAACAGAAATAATATGATCAGCTATTGCCTACTGCCTATAAAAACTGCAAGTTTGCAAAAGGATTTACATTTTCAAATGGTGGACAGGGAGAGAACAGAAGTGATATTGGATGTGATGATTGTGAGGGAGGAGGAAGGAGATAGAAAAGAGAATCAAGGGAAACAGGAGAAAAAAATATATATATAAAACAAAAAAGTTTTAAAAATCAAATACAAACTAAACATACTAATCAAACATCCTAATTCACAAAAAAGCTAATCCATGTAAAATAACTGGCTTCAAAAATGCTAGGGGTGAGTTGGGGTTGTGGCTCAGTGTGCTTGCCTAGCATGCACAAAGCACTGGGTTCGATCCCCAACACCACATAAACATACACACATAAATAAATAATAAAAAAGGAAATATTTAAAAAATATGATAAGGTTGAGAAGGAGAGAGATAGAGAGAGAGAGAGAGAGACTGACTATATAAATGTCCATGTACCATTAAGGTCACAATTAAACAGTGAAAAGGAAATTAAAAAAAAAAAATCTTGATGAAAAGAAAGAATCCTTTCCATTAGAGTTCAAAATATTCTCAGCTTCTCAGCAGTTCTAGTTGGGGTCTTCTGGAGTGTGATGCTCCACCCTCTGGATTGCTACAGGGAGATAATCCTGGAGGTAGAGTTCCTGGAAGCAGGGTTTAGGATCAGGTGGGCTCCAGGCTCTTCACTGAATGCTAATTGTCCTGGAGATTTTAAATCAGTGCACCTCCAGGGCCCAGTACCTGCTAGACTACACTGGAAGACTTTACCTCCAGGGATTGCCCCCTGGGTTCCACTTGTGTGGTGGAGGACCCAATTCTTAGTTCCCTGTATCACTTGCAGACCCCATATTTCCTGGTCTCGGATTCAGTCCAATCTCTTCTGCCCCATCCTTCCAAATTCCAGGCTAGGTGCTCTCCCAGCTGGTGCTGCAAAACAGTCGGATTGGAGGAGGAGGAATAGAGCCAGGTGGGTTTCTGGGACCACCAGTATAAACCTCTCCAAGTTTGATTTTTTTTCTGGTCACTTAAGCACAATCTATGTCATGTGTTTACAGGGCCTGTTCTTTGGGCCAAACTCAAATTTGCCAGGAATCGGCTTCCTCTGTTGCTGTCCCCCAAGCCACAGTTGCAAAATGTTTTTCCTTCCTGCAAAGTGTTCCTATAAAACATTTCCTTCCAAAATATTTGTCTTCACAGGCTGCCTGGAGTCATGGTGGCTTCTTTCCCCACACTTGGGATATAGTGCAGCATGTCTTTCAGGTTTGTCAGGCAATGTCCTTGGTCTCTAAATGCCCCATACACAGACATGCCTCCAGCCTCCCAAATGTGTGGGTTCCTTTAATTCCTTTATCCCTCTACTATGCTTAAGGAGGGAGAGCTCTGGCTGGAGTTTATGGTAGTGGCTATGCCACTAGGAATTTCTTCCGTATTTTATTATATCCAAACTCCTGAGTCCCGGATCTGCTTTCAATATTCAGTTTTAAGGGGCTGGGGATGTGGCTAAAGCGGTAGCGTGCTCGCCCGGCATGCGTGCGGCCCGGGTTCGATCCTCAGCACCACATACAAATAAAGATTTAAAAAAAAAAAAAAAAAAAAATTCAGTTTTAAATTCCAGTAAAGTCCTCCCACTTTTTTTTTGTTGTTCACCCACATTACTGAGAAGCTGTCAGTTTTCTTGGTTTCACTCCATGGAGTAGCAGGAACATAACCTCCTCTACTCTGCCATCTTCTTAATCTCTGGCTGAGTATTTCTTGTACTGAAAATCATTTCAGTCTTGTCCTTTGAAACTCTTGCCTACCCCACCACTATCCTAATTTTTGTCAGCAAAATTAGTTTTGGCTAATCTTGAATTTCATAAAAATGGAATCATATACTATGTATTCTTTTCTATCTGGCTCTTGTCACTTAACAAGTCTGTGAAAATCATCCACGCTGTTTACATCAACAGTATGATCGTTTTTTATTCCAAAGTATGATTTTTACCATGATGTATCAATTTTCTTGTTAATAAGACATTAGTCTGGAGTTTATGAAAAATAAATTTGAGTTGCCAGGATATGATGGAGAAGTTAGGAAATCAGATGAGTTCACCAAGGGCATATAGATGAAAAGATATAGACTTATCTCTGAGGCATTCTAATACCCAAAGATCCAGGAGGTAAGTCTAAAGACTCTGGGAATAGCCATAGGAAAGGAAGAAAAGAAAGACGGGTGTCCTAGAAGCAAAGTAAAAAAACAGTACATCTCTAATACTGCAGATATTCACTCATATCACTGAATCATAGAATATAATAAGGCGGTCTTGGAAAGAACAGAAACACTAAAAACTACAAGGTTCAATAAATTGGCAAAAATTACAAATATTCTTAGGTTCAATCATTGGCATTTAAACGTAGATTTCTGTGGAATGTCAATTTTATCTCAATAAAGGTGGAAATGAAGGGAGAAAGATGACCATCAGAGAAGATTAAGGTTTGTCTATTCTATAAGGAACAAGAAAGTAGATCCCAAGAGATGGTTTACTAAGGGATAGGATTTACTCAGATATACTATTAGAATGAAAAGACAAACCAAATCAGCAAATTTATAGTCTGTTCATGCAAGTTATTAAATAAATCAAAGTATCCATACACTTAAATGTTGTTATTTCTGATTCACCTTCTTCAGGTTTCATTCTTTTCCTTTCTTAAGGAATGAAACACATAGCTTGAAATTTTCAATGCCTATATATAATTTTCAAAGATTAAGTAACCAGGATGGGCTCATTAAATACACATCTTGGCTCTATGTATTCTATTTTCTTTTATTATTCCTTCTCTTGCAAAAGAGTAAAACTGGAGGAAAAGGTCATAAAATGTTCAATCATTTCTAATTTTTTTTCTCCCACTTCAATGTCACTTTATACCTCTTGACTTAGTTTTTTCCATTTATAAAATCATGTCCTGAATAAATAACACCTGTCTTATGCCTACACCACAACCATCATTTATCACTGTTAGAATATACTATGCCATGGGAAGATTAGACGAACTCTAGAAAGGGGAGGGAGGGGAAAGAAGGGAGCAAAGGGGTAAAAAAGATGGTGGAATGAGATGGACATCATTACCCTAAGTACATGTATGAAGACATGAATGGTATTAATATACAATGTATACAACCAGTGATACGAAAAATTGTGCTAATTGTGCTCTATGTGTAATATGAGTCATAATGCATTTTGCTGTCATATATACAAAGTAGAATAAAAAATTAAAAAAAAAAAAAAGAATATTCCATGCTCTATTCTAAGAGAATTACACAAACCAACTCAGCACTATTAAGTGGGTATTAACTTTACATATAAGGAAACAAAAGCATACAAACTTTAACTAATTTGCTCACAACCACATGGGTTTTCATATTGAAGAATGAGGATTTGAACCTGGTAGCTATATACCAGTAACTTTCTTTTTATTCAGCACTAGGGATTGAACCCAGGGGTAATCTATCACTGAGTTACATCCCTAGCTCTTAAGTATCTTCTTTTGAGATAAGGTCTTGCAAAATTGCATCAGCCTCAAACATGAGATCCTCCTGTCTCAGTCTCCCAAGTAGCTGGTTACAGGTATGCAACTAGTGTTCAGCTCTGAGTAGGAACCCTTAAAACACTGTGCTAGTAATATCAAATCAGACAAATCTAGTGAAAAAAGTGTGCGACAAATTAAAAATCACCTACAAGGGCTGGGGTTGTGGATCAGTGGAAGAGTGCTTGCCTAGCATGACTGAGGAACTGGGTTTGATCTTCAGCACCACATATATATAAACAAACAAACAGTAAATAAATAAATAAATATCATGTTCACCAACAACTTAAATTTTTTTTTAAATGTCACCTATGGAGGTATTTCTTGGAACCTGCTCAATTAACACACTTTTTAAAGTTCTGTTGCTTATATTCCAAGGGAAAGATTATTTCAATACTTATTTTACTTTTAGTCTCTTAGAAAATATCTTCCTGAGACAACAAATAGTCAAATTTACCAAAATCACAATGAAATCCAAGACTTTTAAAAATGAACAACTAGCACCTGACATTAATAAATACAGGTTGTGGTCTTAATTATAACCCATTTTCAATTATGTATTTAAGAGATTATAAAATTATTGCCCCAATAACATAAAATATAACATAAGCTTATGTTTGTGGCAATTACATATTTAACATTCTTGTAGTCTTGGTTATTTCTATGAGAGGAGTGAAAATGAACTGAAAAATCTCTTACCATTGATCTTTCAGGATATCCAAACAAATAGCCCCTGTGACGGAACTAATATTAGGATGCCATATTTTAGTGATAAACCGGACCTAGAACATAAAGCACACTTAAGTTTCCAAGAAACAGAAATAAAACACATAAAAGTTTAAATAGAACTACAAAAAAAAAAAAATCAGATTAAGCTTCAGGATAATAATGTAATACTTTTATTACATCATTTGGCCAAAGTAAAGGGACAAGTGCAGAAGACTAAACATTCTGTAAGCTAAATACAGTCACTAACAAGTTCTTTTTAGACCTTTTAATAAATGCTCTGTCTTAAAACACACCCATAATTACTAGCTGTTTAGAATTCACATAGAATGATGCTAGATCTATGAGAAATAAAACAGACTAAAATCCATTTGAGTAATGTAGTACATAAAATCAAAATACAGCATAAGTGGCTGTGAGGGAGTCATTTTTTCTGTGAGGGAGCATGCAGAATAGGTTTAAAGAGGAAAAGTAAGCAAAATAAATGCATGGAAGCATGTAGTAACTGGCTACATAATACCCCCAATTTTTCTGTATAAGTTTTTTTCAAATTCTTTGTCATGGATAATGCAACAAATATTTGAAAACTTAATACTCTTCATCAGGCATAAAGATTAGACTTGAAGAAATAAAATCTATTGCATCAGCTCTTATTTACAAGCTTTTGGAAAACCACCACCATTGTTATTCTTTCTTTTTTTTTCCCCCCTTAGGGGTGGGTAACTGAGATTAAACTCAGGGGTAATGAACCACTGAGCCACATCCCCAGCCCTTCTTTGTATTTTATTTAGAGACAGGGTCTCATTGAGTTGCTCAGTGCCTCACCATTGCTGAGGTTGGCTTTGAACTCTCAATCCTCCTGCCTCTGCCTCCAGAGCAGCTGGGATTATAGGCATGCACCATAGCGCCTGGCTCAATCCTTTTTTGTTTGGTTCTTTTCATACCAGGGATTGAACCTTGGGTGCTTAACCACTGAGCCACAAACCGAGCCCTTTTTTATATCTTATTTAGAGAAACAGGGTCACCAATGTGCTTAGGTCCTCAATGAATTGCTGAAGCTGGCTTTGAACTCAACATCCTCCTGCCTCAACCTCCCTGAGATGCAAAAATCATAGGTGTACACCACCAAGCTTGGCTTGTTTTTTTTTCCCCCAGTGCTAGGAACTGAACTCAGGGGCACACTACCAGAGGTATATCTCCACTACTTTTTTTTTTTTTTTTAATATTTTTAAGTTGTTGATAGACCTTATCTATATCTATCTATCTATTTATTTGTGGTGCCGACACTCAACTCAGTGCCTCACATGCCAGGCAAGTGTGCTACCGCTCAGCCCCAGCCCCAGCCCTCCCCATTACTTTTTATTTTTTTGAGACAGTATCTTGCTGGACTTGAATTTGTGATCTTCAAATTATATTATATTACCTCAGGGAATACAGGTGTAAGCCACCTCACACCTGGCTATTATTAGAGTGACCAGTGAGTCCAAATTAAGTAACAGGTTAATTAGTATGTGCCTACTAATGTTCTAAATACTTGACAAAAATTAACTCTTCACTAATATGCTACAAATCTATTTCTGATAAGAAGCTAAGTAGCTTCCACTTCTTTTTGTGATTTCTTGATTTGTCTGTCCTATGTCTCTACTTCTTCACCTCCTACTCATTCACTGTCATATTCAATCTGAAAAAGCACTTTAAGCTATTAGTGAATTCAAAACCCCTAAAACAAATGTACATTTTCCACATTTCCATTTAGAACATGTATGCTCTTTTTCTATTCTTAAAATAGATGCTTTTTTCAATGATACCTACTTCTCTCCATTCACACACAAAACCATCTCCTCAAAGGAGACTATCATTTTTCAGGTGGATTACTAGAGTATCTTGATTTTATTCTCTTTTGTTCCCTCCAATACATTTTCCACACTGAATGCAGTGTACCCCTTTAAAAAAATATAATTTTGTGTCCCTATCAGGCCCTTTAATGACCTCTCATTTATTTTGTGTAAGACCACAATACTAGGGAGGCAATACTAGAAATTGAATTCAGGGGCACTCTACCACTGAGTTACATCCCCAGCAGCCCCCAACCTGCATTTTTTTTTTTTTTTTTTTTTGGTAAAACATAGGTTCTCGCTAAATTGCCCAGGTTGGCATTGAACTTGAGATACTCCTGTCTCAGCTTTGTGTGTCCCTGGGATTACACCATGTACCTATCTTAATTCCACACTCCTCACCTAGCCCTTAAATTCCAATTTCACTTCCACCCCATATCCACTCTCTAGGTAGAGAAATTCAAATTGGTAATTTGCCTCTGGGCCTTCACGAATATTCATTTTCTCAGTAACATATCTCTTCAGCCTTTGCCACTAGATAACTCCTTGTTATAGTTTAGATATTAGGTATCCCAAAAGTTCATGTGTCCATTATGCAATGAAATTTAGAGGTGAATGACTGGGTTATGAGAGCCTTCACCTAACCACTGCATTAATCCTCTGGTAGGGATTAGATGGTAACTATAGGCTGAAAGGGTGTGGTGAGAGGAGGGGGGGCTATTGGGGACATGCTTTTGGTGTATATACTTTGTCCTTGTTGAGAAGAGCTGTATCTCTCTTTCTCTCTCTGCTTCTTGGTGTAATCTCCTGAGCCACTTTCTCCATCACACTCTTTCTCCATGATGTTCTGACTCCCTTCCCTCCCAGAGCAATGGACTTCACCATCTATGGACTGAGACTTTTTAAAGCTTGAGCCCCCCAAACAAATTTTCCCCCTGTAAAATTGTTGTTTTTAGGTCTTTTTGCTCATAGCAGCAAAAAAGCTTACTATAACACTCCTCATCCTTCAAGTTTCAGTTTCCATATCACTTCTTCCCAACCTGTTCTCAAAACACCCTGTATTTTCTTGCATCAGAAATCACCAAACTTCTATAATTCTGCCTTACTTGTCTGGTCTTCCCTAAAAAGAATGTATCCATCCTGCTTCCTAAACGATCCCCAGTATCTCAAAGTGCCTCACACTGGAATATGAATTTAAATATTATGGCAAACCTATTTCAAAAATAAATAATACCTGAAATACAGTCCAGGTCAAATAAGACAATAATACAGGGCTTATGTACAAGAAACATCTCTTTGTAACTACAAAATTTACATCTTAATATTTACCATTAATTGAATTCAATGTATACAGGTAGAAAATAACCACTGCCTTTAACTTCAATAAAGAAACCCCAGGGGCTGGGGTTGTGGCTCAGTAGTAGAGCACTTGCCTAGCGTATGAGGCACCGCGTTTGATCCTCAGCACCAAATATAAGTAAATAAAAAATAAAGGTACATCAACAACTAAAAAATATTAAAAAAGAAAGGAAGGAAGGAAAGAAATTCCAGCACTCTGTAACTTTAAAACAAAATGGTTCAATAATATTTTAACAATTGGAAAACAGAATTTTAAATTACTACTGAAAATGTAAGAAACATGGGGGGGGGAGACATAAACAACAACATCATCTTAAAAAAAAAAAAGAAAATATCACAAAGTTTATAGTTTAGAAAAGTGATCTGAGGATGTGTGAACTTACTCCTATTTATTTACTTATTTTTAGTTCTGAGGATTGAGCTCAAGGCCTCATGCATGTTAAGCAAGCACTCTACCACTGAACTAATTATTGCTCATCTTTTTTATTTAAAGCAGAGTCTCTGAGTTGTCCAAGGTGGCCTTGAACTTGCAATCCTCCTTCCTCAGTCACCCAAGGAGCTGGTATTACTAGGATACACTGTCATGCTCATCTTGCTTATTAAAGAAGAGTTTCCTATATATAATTCTCTGAAGATGCACATGCAGAATCAAGCAAATATCAGGACTAAGGTAATTATTAAGCTACTTTTTATATTGTTGTACTATCTACAGTTCAAAACAAATAATTTCGAATTTCAGAAAGAAATCATTCTCCCATGGCTGGGGTTGTAGCTCATTGGTAGAGTACTTGCATGGTGATGCCTGTAGATTTGATTCCCAGAGGCAGAAAGGTGCAAACAAAGAAAGAAATCAGAGTACACACCATTATCCACCAGTACATACATAAGCATTTTTTGTATAATATAATGCTCTTTAGCCCTTAACTTTTTTCCCCTTACTGTTCTTCACCATTAACTATCTCCCTTCTTAGGTTTTTTCAATTCTTCCTCTTCCTTTCTCAGGCCTTAATGTTACGAATTAGTACCCCATGCATCCTTGAATACTGTCCTATTGTTGAATATCCGGCTTATACCCATGTATACCACCACTTATGACCATAGTCCTACCATTCCTGACCTATATTAAGAAAAGCACAGAACCAAAAGAACTTGGCTGGGCTGTAGTATAAGTAATAGTACAATGACACCTATCATGACCTATTTGAGTCAAAATTGCCTTTGATTACAAAACAGGTTAAGGAACAGTTTATAGTACTAGGATATTTTCTAATAGCAATTCGTGTCTCCTTATTTTCCCATACGAAACTAATTTTCAAACTATCTGGAGCTTTAGAATACTCATTAGCTTTAGGGAGCATGCAAAGACCACAAAAACAAAACAATATAAAAACCACATCTGAACACCATGTGCACAGAAGATAATAAAATCGAGACTATTCTCAATTATCTATACCAGCTAATCATCATTTCTCTTCCTGTGGAACACAACCTACATTTCACACACTCTTCAGTTCCACAAACATTTCAGTTCCTACTTCTTACGGGGCCAGAGTTCATTTCCATCAGGAATTTCCGGTTTCAAGATTGAAACTGAAGGATATTATATTATTAAACCAGTTTTGATTCACTTGTTATACAAAATAAAATGCTTATTTTCAACATACATGCATGGAAGGAAATGCTCGTTAAATATTACCAACATTAGTATTTAATACTCCATTTCACATATAAAAGTATGCTTATAAAACCAAGGAAAAAGAAAATCCACACCTAGTTTCTAATAAAAGAACAAATCACTGAGATAACTGTAAAATTTAATGGTTTTTCTCATTAATTACATATAGTACAATTGAGAAAACCTTGGTTGTATACAAACAATTTATTGAATTCCTTCACTATTTTCAGATAATTCCAAGATATATCTTCTCTATCTGGAAGTAAACTTTTGCTCTTCTGGTCAAGGATTTATTGGAGAATAATAAACAGAAAATATGCTATGTGCATATTAAAATAAACAAGATTGGTATGGTTGTTACACCTATAATCCTAGAGCCTGGAAAGGCTGAGGCAGGAGGATCCCAAATCCAAGGCCAGCCTCTGAAATTTAGCAAGACCATGTCTCAAAATAAAAAATACAAAGGACTGCTGTGATGTCACTCATTGGTAGAGTGCCCAAGGTTAAAACCCCATTACTAGTCCCACCCAGAAAAAAAAGATAAATAAGCGAAAGTTTTTAATATCTTCTCAAATCTTAGCTGTACAATATGGTAATACTCACCTTATCCATGAGGAATAGGTGCCAAGATTACCAATGTATGCCCCACACTACAGACAGTATTAAACCCTATATATGCTGGGTTTTATTCCTATACATACATACTTATGATAAAGCTTAATTTACTTAAGAATAGCTAAAGAAAACCAATTTATTATAATAAACAATTTAAAACTGAGGAAATATTTATTTCTGAAATTTTCCATTTAATGTTTTCAGATCCTGATTGACCATGAATAACTGAAAAAAAGGAAAACTGCAGATCAAGAGGGAAGATCCTATCTCAAAGTGCTAAAACAGAGCCAGAACTATGCAATTACTTTGGAGTTAGTACAGACCCTAAAGAAACACCTTTATTGAGACATAATTGACCCACCTAAAGTGCACAATTTCACTAAGCCAGGGGTATAGCTCAATGGTAGAGCACTGGTCTAGTATTTACGAGGCCCTGAGACCAATCACCAAGGGGGGAGGGGAGGGGAGGAAGGAAGAAAAGAAAGAAAAGTACAAAATGTCATAATTCTTAGTATATTCCAAGTTGTCTAGCCATCAATAAGAGTCTAATTTTTGAAAATTTTATCACCTCAAAAAGAAATCCTAGCCGGCACAGTGGTGCATGTCTGGCAGAGTATCTGGAGGCGGAGGCAGAGGCAGGAGGATCACGAGCTCAAAGACAGCCTCAGCAATGGAGAAGCCCTTAGCAACTTAGTTAGACCCTGTCTCTAAAATATGGCATATTCATGCCATGTCTCTAATAAAATAAAAAAGGGCTGGGGATGTGGCTCAGTGGTTAAGTGCCCCTGAGTTCAATCTCTGGTACCAAGAAAAAAAAAAAGAAAAAGAAATCCTGTAACTATCAGCCTACACTATTCATTACTCTCTAACCCACCCCATTTCTAAAAACTACCAATCTACTTTTTGTCCATAATGATTTGCCTTTTCTGATATTTCATTAAATGATATCATAATGTAGAGAATCTGGTGTCTGTTTCTTTCATTTAGCAGGTTTTCAAGGTTCATCCATGCTGGAGCATTTATCAACCCTTCATTCTTTATGTTTGGTTTTTTGTTTATTTGATTTTTTTTTTTTTTCGGTATTAGGGATTGAACCCAGAAGTGCTCAACCACTGAGACTTTTTTATTTAATTATTTTTTTATTTAATTATTTTATTTTGAGACAGGGTCTTGCTAAGTTGGTTAAGTCCTCATTAAGTTGCTAAGGCTGGCTTTGAACTTGTGATCATCCTGCCTCAGCCTCCTGAGCTGTTGGGATTACAGGCATGTGCCACTGCACCAAGCCATTCTTTATTATATGAACAGTTATGAGGCTAGGGATGCAGCTCAGTGGTACAGCACTTCCCTCACATGTGCAAGACCCTACATTCAATCCCCAGCAAAGCAATAAAGAAATAATAACTAGTTGTGACTTACTGGCTAATTCTGGCTAATATTTACCAAGTATTTGCTCTGCGAAATGCACTTTTCTAAGTATTCTATTTTACTAAATCTCAGGCAACATCAATTATTCAAGAAAACATTACTTTAAGTGCCTTCACGGAAGACAAAAATTTCTTCCAATTAAATGATGATATGCTAATCCACTGAAATATGGATTCTCATTTGAAAGATACTAAGATGGGAAAACATGTTTTATAGAATTACTGAAAAGTACTTTACATGTGTTAACTCCTTTCATTTTTATAATCCCAGGAGAGGATTTTAAAACAAATGAGAAACTGAAGTACATAGAAATTAGATAACTTGCCTAAAATCATAAAGCCAGTGAAATCAAGGTAAGATTGAACCCTTACTGTTCAACTGTTGACTGACTGTTTTGGAAGAACCACATTCATACTTTCAGAGATTGTGTCCTTACTCATTCTTCCCAGGATCATGGAAGGAGAGTCCAGTGATTTTTTTAAACAATTTAACCTTTATTTATTTATTTTTGTACTTGTAGGTGGACAGAATGCCTTTATTTATTTTTATGTGGTGCTGAGAATCAAATCCAGGGCCTCACTCATGATAGGCTAGCACTTTATCACTGACCCAGACCATAAGTGACAGTTTTACCTGTCATTTTAAGTATAATGGTTGAGAGCAGTCCATCTACAGCACTTTTCTTTCTTCCATCTTATTTCTGTTTTTTAAAACGAATGAATTAAAATCCAGGAATGGGTAGCACACACCTGTAGCCTATATCTGAATTTCTCAAGAGGCTACCTATAATCCCAGATACTGGGCGGCTGAGGCAGGAGGACCACAAGTTCAAGGACAGACTGGGCAACTTAGTGAAACTCTGTCTCAAAGCATAAATTTGAAAACAGCTAGGAATGTAGTTCAGTGGTAGAGCATTTACCCAGCATGTTCAAGGCTATAGGTTCAATCCTCAGTACTACAAAAACACAAAAAAGTTCTGGAAATGAATGGTGATGACAACTGCACAAAAATATATTTAATGCTGCTGAGCAATACATCTAAAAGTTAGCTGCAGTGAGGCACACCTATAATCCTCGTATCCCGGTGACTAAGGAGACTGAGACAGGAGGATACTAAATTTACCTCAGCAACTTAACAAGACCTTCAGTAACTTTTTCATTTTGTCCCCATGTCCAAAAAAAAGAACGGGCGGGGGTTGGTGGGGTGGTGGTAGCTGGGTTGTGGTTCAGGGACAGAGTGCTCACCTAACACGTGAGATGCCCCGGGTTCAAGCCTCAACATCACATAAAAATAAGTGAATAAAATAAAGGTATGTGTCCAACTACAACTAAAAAAATAAAATAAAATCTTAAAAAAAAAAAGAACCAGGGTCTGGGATTGTGGCTCAGCGGTAGAGCACTCGCCTAGCACTCACCGGCAAGACCTGGGTTCGAGCCTCAGCACCACATAAAAATAAAGGCATTGTTTTGTGTCCATCTACACCTAAAAAATAAATATTAAAAAAAAAAAATCCTTGGAGGTATAGCTCAGTGGTAAAGGGTAACATGCCCCTGGACTCAATCCCAAGTACCAATACAATACAAAACAAAAAAACCAACACACCTAAAAATAGTTAAAATGGCAAATTTTATGCCATGAACATTTTGCCACAATTAAAAAAAAAGGGGAGGCAGCATGTCAAAAAATAAATGTACATCAAGCAACAGAGATATCCCATTCTGGTAGCTGTTCTAAATTCACCCTTCCCATTACCATGTTTATTCTTTTTTTTTTTTTTTAAGTTGTAGATGGATCTTTGTTTTATTTATTCATATGGGTGCTAAGAATCAAACCTAGTGCCTCAAATATGCTAGGCAAGCACTCTGCCACTGAGCCACAACCCCAGCCCCACCATGTTTATTCTTAAGTTGGAACAACTAATAGTTTGAGAGTATGAATTCCACAAAGTTCTGAGAACTGCTATAATATATTAAAGGGCACTATATTATGAGGAGCCAAAGATAATATGTAGGTGTAAAACTCAGTCCTTGACTCAAGAGCAAATAAAAATAAGTCAAAGATACATGTCCAAAATAATACAAAAATTTATGCAAGTACTATATAAATCCTATAAAATGCTAATGGGAAATATCTGACAGGCTTAATGGAGAAAAGTGGCACTTCACCCTCATCTTTTAAAAAAGCCAGAATTTCAAATAAGGACAAAAGATTCAAGCAAAAATTAGAGAAAAAACATGAAAGAATAAATATCATCCACAAAGAGCCAATAATCTAGGTTGGAAAACAAGACCATGTTGTGGGTGGAGATGTAGAAGATAAGGGTAGAAAAGAAAACTGGGGTCAGGCTGTAGGAGACTTTAAATGCCAAGATAAGGAGTTTAGACTTTTATTAACAGAGAACGAAAAGAAGGATAACCTAAACTATATTTAGGAAGATTAGAAATAGCAAAGATGGAAGGGATTAATAACAGGCAAAATAGGGAAGTAAGTACCTAAGTTGAATGGCTAAATTAAAAGTTGTGATAGTGGCAAAGGTAAAAACATGAAGGAAGAGGTTCAGTTTAAAAAAAAAACACCAGCTCAGGCTACCTCTTGTTATACATGACCATAGGGTAAGGTAAGATCATTTCCACTTCACAGTCAAAATGGTTTTGCAATTATTTGCTGATTACTTCTCATAGAATGTGAGCTCCATGAAAGCAGAAGTGCAAGCCTTATTGCTATATTCCTTGGTACATAATATTCAAATAATTACTGAAAGAATGAAGAATACATTATTCCCTAAAACACTTTCTTCTTTGAGCAAAGTAAGAACCTCTCTCTAAATCTGGGAACACTGCAAGTTTTTGCAGACCCAGCATCTGAGTCATTATCAGATGCACACTCTATTCCAATGTAAAGCCACTACTGGCTGCTTTTGATTAAGCCTGCTTTTTATTCTAATTTCAAAAGCAAGCCACTTGCCATGGCCTGAAATCTTAAACACAGCAAACAACTCATAAAGTGGTAACTTTAATAAGCACTAAAACATACATTAGTAGAGCCAAGTATAAAAAAATTTCAAAAGTTCATGCATAAAAATAGGTTTACTATACCTTAGGGGGATTGAATGGATATGTTTCTGGTATTTTTATCTCTAGTTGATATCTTCCTCCTAAAAAATTGGGAAAACAATGCTGTTCAACTCAAATATGTAAACCAAGTATACTAACAAAACTTTTAAAAACATTCATTATTTTATATTCAACTGCAAATTAATTTTAAAGTGGAAACCCAAAAAGGAAATCATCAAAAGCACCAGTTTTTTATTTAATACTTATTTTAAAGCATCCATAAGACCCATTTTCATATCAGCAATTCGTTTATCAGTGAGGAATAGGACTAGACATACATGAATAAATTAAATCCAGACAACCCAATACCAAATATTTCATGAAAACAATTAACTTCCATTTCATTTTGTTGCCTCTAGTCAACAAAAGAGTCACTAATAACACTGGGGGTGGGGTGGGTGGGGGTTGTGGAAGGAAAAAAATAAAAAGAATGAAGGCAAGGAGATACAAAAGAATAGATGTACAGAGACAAAGAATATAGATTAGGCCATAAACTCAAAAATCTATTTCTAATTGGTTCTCTTGAATTAAAAAAAAATTCCCAATCTTTTATCTTGTGACCTAAATTAAATGCTAACATTTTTGTTAATTTTTAAAAATTAATATAAAATATTTTAAATAAATAAATAAAATAAAAAAAGACATCCAAGAAGACAAGATACTATTCTCTTTCTTTAAATGGATATATAAAATGCAAACTTATAAAGAAGCTGTTCTAACCAGTAATGCTGTATACAAACAGAAGACAACATTTTTTCTTTTGGAGTTGTCTTAAGAAACCAGTCACTAAACAGATATTTTAAAAAGTATTTCTAATTTCTCATAATTAGGGCATTCAAAGAAATGATAACTTTCTCTCAGGAAATTCTCATGGAATAAGTCTTGAATCCTATGTCTAACTTTCCGATTCTAAGAGTTTACGACTTATTGACACAGAATATTATTAGAAAACAGCAAATAAAACTGTGCTACTGAAACACATATAAAACTATGGTATTTTGCTTCATAATTATCAAGGGATGGAGTAGATAAAGACTAGTCACTAGGTGATTAAACCAATGGGGGCAGGCATTATTAACATCAAAATTCTATATGCTCAGCTCTTAAAAAAAAGTCAAGAGGCTGGGGTTGTGGCTCAGCAGTAGAGCGCTTTGCCTAGCACGGTGACGCCTTAGGTTGGATTCTTAGCACCACATACAAATAAGTTAAAAAAAAAAAATTCAACAATAAAAATACTAAAAAAAAAAAAAAGTCAAGCAGGAAACTTTCCCCAGTTATTTCCTACATTCTCTCACATTCACACCTCCTCCATTGTTATAAATGGATGATTTTGGATCTGGGGAAAAGGGCATTTCACTCGGTACCCTTTTCCTTAAGCACTTTTGAGTTCCAACTCTTCTCTTAGAATTCTTTTCAATAGAGTCCCATCTATTAAATACATGAATAGAACCAGATGCCTGAATCACAAAACATATGATAGCAGTAAAGAATAAAGAAATGAAAAGAAAAAAAGAGGGGGGGGGGGGACAGGTAACAGAAGTGTAAGAGAAAATTTTGTGAATACTGAAATAACTTTCAGAATTATAAATACTAGCTTCAAATCAAATATACATGATTAAATTTGACTTGAACATTACAATAGGCTCTTTTTTCTTCCTACAAATTTATTTATTTTTCCTGATTAAATTTCAGATTACCATCCTTTATACAAAGTTATTATTTCTTGAATGTCCAAAACAATCTCTTATGAACAGTATGCAAGCCCAGAGATATTTTTATTTCTACTCCATGTTACATGTTGTCTTATATGTTTCTCGGCCTTCTGCCTAAAAGATTAAGAGTATGTTCTGTCTTGCATTATTACCTGAAAAATTATAATATATAATCACTACAGCATTAACCATAATACCATTCATGTGGCGTTAAACGACAGGATGTGTTCTGAGAAGCATCATTAGGTGATCTCATCACTGTGCAAAAAGAATATACCAGGACAGTTACAATGTCACTAGGCAATGTAATTTTAACAGACAACTGTTCAAATCCATAGTCCATCATTGACCAAAAATGTCACAGATTATATTTAATCAGGTTGATACATATAAGGGAATTTTTTACAAAACACACTGTATATACCAGATGTAATCCCAGCTAGTTGGGAGAGTGAGATAGGAGGACAACAAATTTAAGGCCAGCCTGGGCCAACATACTGAAACCCATTCTCAGAAGAAAAAAAAGGAAAAGGCAGGGGGAGGGGTTGGAAGGGAGATCATGGATGCAGAACACTTGCCTAGCATGCATAAAACCCTGGGTGTTTAATCCTCAGTGCAGGAAAACACATAGGCATAAAAACAAAAACAGCATTCATTTTAAATAGTTACCTCCTGAAGAATAGCCCCCCGCCTCCACAATACAGGATCTCTTTTAATTGCCCAGACTAGCCTTGAACCCCTGGGCCTCAAGCAATCCTCCTGCCTCAGCTTCCCAAGTAGCTGGGCCTACAGAAGATATAAGCTACTACTCCCTGCTTTAAGAAGAGCTTTTAACATTAAAAATTCATAAATTAAATTTTAAATTAATTTTTAAAAAATGGTTGTGGTTGAAAAGGGATGAGAATTTTTGGCCAATCAACAATAATCTAGAAACTAAAAAGAACTTTTAGGAAGAAAGTAAATTGTTCTTTTACCACTGAGCTATTTTATTAGTCAAAAGAAGAAAACTGAGTTTAATAAACACACATCACAGCAATTTTTCAATGGGTATTCTACTTCTCAATCTGATTATTTTAAAATACTATATAAAATGACTTCCTCATTACCTAATAGATTAAAAACATGTCTAACATTCTACATGTAAACTTCTGCTTTTGCTTTTTAATTTAAACCAAAATTAAAAAACACAAAGAGGCTGGGGGTGTAGCTCAGTGACAGAGCACTTGCCTGGCATGTGAGAGGCCCTGGGTTCAATGCCCATCATCAAATAAAAACCAAACAACTAGCCGGGCACAGTGGGGCACACCTATAATCCTGCCAACTCGGAAGGCTGAGACAGGAGGATTGCATGTTCGAGGTCAGCCTCTAACTCTTAGTGAGACTGTATCTCAAAATAAAAAATAAAAGGGGCTGGGGTTTTAGCACAGTAGTAAAGCATCAATAGGTGGGATTCCCCAGTAACACCAAAAGAAGAAAAAAGAAAAATAAAAAGCCCCCCCAAAAAAAGTAAGAACCCTGCAAGAAACATTATTTAAACATTTTTCTTACATTTCAAAGAAAGTTTCTAATTTATGTCCTTGTATGGTACTTTTACTAAATAAAATGATCATCTCAATACTCTCAATACTTATGACAAAAAGAACAGAATGAGATAGTATAACTCAAATATCCAAAAAACATATTAATCTTAATCTTATCAAAAGACTGTTTTATTTAAAAGCAGAAGCAGGATTAAATACTTAGTTACCAAACATTTCTAACTAAAAAGAAATACAAAAAAATGTGCTTTATCCAATTAAAAAAAAAAAAAAAATCACTGGGACTGCGATTGTGGCTCCATGGTAGAGCACTCGCCTAACATGCATGAGGCACTGGGTTCGATCCTCATCACCACATAAATGTAAAATAAAGATATTGTGTCCACCTAAAACTAAAAAATATTATATATATATTTTTTTTTAAAATCACTTACCTATTAAGAGTTGCTAAGAAGGTAAGAAATTTTTCTCATCTAACAACTAAGCTCAGGAAGTATCTTGTCTGTTACAAAAATTTGCTGGAAGAACTCTAGAATAATACTGTTGCCTTACTGCCTTCAAAAAACAAAACAAAACAAATCCCAAAAAGAACATTTAGTCAGGAGTGGTGGCACATGCCCATCATTCCAGCAACTCAGGAGGATGAGCAGGAGATTCCAAGTTTGAGGCTAGCCTCTACAACTTAGCAAGACCCTGTCTTCTCAAAATAAAAAATAAAAAGGAATAGAATACAGCTGTGATAAAGTGATTCTGGGTTAAATTCCCAGTATAAGTAAAAAAATAAAACATCTATACAATCTAAAAAAATAATTCAAGAACTATTATGCCTGCCTTCAAGAAGCAGCAGGAATAACCGAGCATTTGCAATTAAGACAAGCACTTAATTTTTTGTAAGATATAACTAAAGGTCTCTTCTATGTTTACTATCAAAAGGACTAAATAAGCAGTGTTCAGTGACACATGCCTGTAATCACAGCAACTCAGGAGGCTGAGGCAGGAGGATTCCAAATCAGAGACCAGCCTTGGCAACTTAGCAAAAACCTAACCCCCAAATTGATCAATCAATCAATCTCAGGATATAGCTCACTGGTAAAGCACTCCAGAGTTCAATCACCAGTATCACACCCACCCCTCAAAAAGATAGTATGCTAATTACATACTAGAGTCTTTAAATTTTTGAATAAGGACAAAAATATTCAAGAATATTAGACTTTTCTCAATTTGGGGGGTTACTATTCAATACCGAATTATAGAACCACCATATTCAGAATAATCATAATTACCCCTTCCAATATCAATCCTGATTCACTCCAAAGTAGCAAGTTATTAAAAGTATAACTTTGACGTAAAAGGCTATTAAGCCTCAAATCCCAGCTGTGCCTCTTCTTCATATCAAATCTTAGATAAGTTAATTAACTTCTCTGAGCTTAAGTTTCTTTATCTATGAAAAAGTGATAACTCTACTTACCTCATAAGATTTGTTAAGAACCAAACATATGAGTATGCATACATGTAATGCTTCTAAAGAGCTACCACATATTGTTACATGCTTTCTACTAAACAAATATCTGAATACCTAGATTCCAAGAACCATGGTTACGCTGCTTAATCCAAATTTATAATATTCATTCATGAAGATTTGCCTAATGAGAAATTAAAATGCTAAAGCTTCTCTCTATATATCTTACCCTCAAATTCTGTGGTCTACAGTAAAGGAGCTACAGACTTAATTTGTGAACATAAAACTAAGTAAAGCTATCTACTTTCTTTTCTATAAATCTAAAAATGATCACTCAAAACTTTCCTAAATAAGAAAATTAAATACATGAACTACAACCAGTATGAAGATATATGAGTGAATGAAATGCCATATGACAAATGGGAGAGGAGCTTTAAAAAGCAAAAACAAAGTTAGTCAGAAATTTAAGGCAAGGTTTGTTATAAATACCATATGAAGGGTAACTTGAGAGTCTACAGACTATATAAGAAAGAGGCTTAACATTCTATTACGTTTTAAAAATTCTAACCTGCACAACCTGTAACTTAGCTGTGCTAAATCTCTTTTGGGGAAAGAAAAAATTAACTAAAATTCAGTAAGAAAAGTCAGTCTGGAATAAGTGTCTAAATTTATCATTTTAAAAATTGCTGTATATACTAAGCCAAATGTAGTTACCTTCTATGTAGTTTATAGATGCTCAAAATTAATTCTGATTTAATGTTTCAGACAAGTTCTAATACGCACGATATTTTGATACAGAAAAAAGTACTTGCCTTCATATGGTGTGTCTGGAGGTCCTGCTATTTCTCCTCTTAATTCTGTAAAATTCTCATCTACAAGATCTACTTTAATTTGATTTTTGCTCGTCTTAAAAATAAACAGAAAATAAATGTTAGTTATGTCAACAAGGAAAAGGCCTATTTTAAAATATTACCTATAAAAAACTTAAAGCCCCTCTTTCATAGATTTATCTACTCTAGAAAAATAAACTGTCCTTTTCTAGGACTTAATTAGCCAGTTTAAGAGTATTTAAAACAAAGAAAGTAAGAAATATTAACTTCAATATTCTTAATGAAATAACACCACTTTGAACAATAGAACAAATGGCTTGTTGACTTTATGGGAAAGTTATTAGAGAAAAATAGCAGACAACTTATTTATATTTGCTAACTCCACATATGTCAAGTCCAAAGTGATAAACCTATTCATCTGTAGTTAAATGTAGTTAAGACTTTGAACCTTCAGGGAACTTCGGTTCTATTCAATGGAATTCACATTAATATTCCCAAGTACCTACCTGCCTATAAATGGTACCTCCACTTATGCTTTTATCCTAATATCTTACTGGTTTTATTCCACATTCCTAATATATAAAGTCCTTCCCTTCTCTCAATTTAAACCTAAAATACAAATTTAACAAAACAAAATACATATACAAAATATGTATTTTGTTTTGTTAAATTCCTTATTTTTACTTAACAGACATAATACATCTACTTTTATAACAAAGTCTTGCCTAAGATTTCAAGAGTAAATTTTTCTGTTTTGGAACCATCTTTTTAAAACTTGCTTACTGGATGGAACAGTGTTAAGAATATCTGCTTTAAGGTCCTCAGCTTCTTTCACCACACACACACACACACACACACACACACACACACCCCAGTTTCACTTTTTCTATACTAAATATTTTTAGTACAGAAACAATGTATAACTTAAAATCCAAATTTCTAAAATTTCATGACTTCTTGAAAATATATATACGAGGAGGGTGCTAGGAATTTAATCCAGGGATACTTTCCCACTGAGATAAATCCCCCTTCTCTTTTTAATTTTGAGACAGGGTCTTGCCAAGTTGCTGAGGCTGGCCTCAAACTTGCAATTCTCCTGTCTTAGCCTCCCAAATGGCTGGGATTACAGGCGTGCACCACTGCGCCCGGCTTCATGACTCTCTTCTAATAACACAGAATTACCAGAATTACTTTAATGTATTTTTAAAATGTTCTAATTAGTATTGGTTTATTTCATAACCTTTGTTATGTTTCAAAGTATTTCATATTTTTCTGAAAATGTTTTTACCCAAAAAGTGAAATTGAATTATAAATATGCACAAAAGAGAAATTTCTTCCTGTGCCCCAGAAAATCATTACCATTCATGGTGTTGTGGCAGAGAAAGAAATGTACATTTTAGCAAAAGTAAAAATACTTTGTCTGGTATGTACAAGAATAAACAATGTGATGAAAACTGAAGGCATCCAACTTTACTGACCAATTTAAGAAGCCACAAGTATTAACTATAGATTTTCATTTTTACCCCTAAAACTTTTAAGGAAAATCAGAGCAATCAGATCTTTTACTTTACTTTAAAAGACCTCTATAGCTTCCTCTAATCTCCTCTAAAAAGAAATACCCTAAAATGTTAGTATACTAACGAATGTAATTAGACTAAAGTTTTGGGGACAAATAAAGGAGGTAAACAAAGATTAGAAAATCTGCTTTCTAGAACTATCCCAATTCTGTTTAGTAAAATATTGAATAATTATTAATTTTTATACCTCTATCATTTTATGTATCCACAGCACCCAAACAATAATTTAGAGGGGAAAAAAATAGATCTTTTTTTCACCTTAGAAAAAAAACACCATTAGTTTATGAAAATTTTACTAAATAAGTTCAAAATACCATCACCATGATATATTCCCATTACAAAAAAGCATACTACATGATCTAGGATCAAGCTTTCCCTGCAGATAAATAAGATAAAAAGAAAATGGACATTAAAAAACAAGGATTTTTCAGTTTAATTTTTCCATCAAAAACAATGATCCTTTATACCTCCACAGTGTAATTTAAGCATCCAATTATTTTATAATCATACAAAATTTGAATCCCAGTGCTCCCATAAACCAATTTAAAATCCCAGCTAAAGACTCAGAAACATAAGGAAGACATGAAAAATGGCAAAAGATGACATTATTAGAAAAGTCATGGTTTTTGGAGAGTATAGATGTGTGCTAAATCCTACTTCTGGCACTTGTGATATTAATATAAACGCGTCACTTATATCTAACTTAATTTTATTCCTGTAAAATGAGAATACGTAAACCAGAATTAAATGAGTCTCCTAGATAGACAAAGATCAAGTGTGCAAGTTCTAACAATATTAAGTACAAAACCTTTGATTTCAAAGCCCTATTTTGTGAAATTCATTTCATAATTCTGCTGCCAATCTAAGAACACAATATGATTTCAGAAAATAAATACGAAAACAATGTGTCATTCACTTTAATGACTGCAACAACTAAGGAGTCTTATGGATGAAACCCTGAAGAACTGTTATTTTTTGCACAATCTTCTTTTTTGGCAGTATGGATATTGAACCCAGGAATGCTCTACCACTATGCTACATCCCCACCCCATTTTATTTTTTATTTTGACACAGGATCTCACTAAATTGCTCCTGCTGGCCTCAAACTTGCAATCCTCCTGCCTTGGGCCCTCAAAGATGCTTAGATTATAGGCATGTGCCACCATGCCTGGGTTGGAACTACATCTTTTGTAAGGATAGCTGCAAAGCTACTTTACTACACTTTCTTCCAACTCTGCTAAACACAGGAGAACTTCTGGAAGTCGTGTTTTTTCCTAATGTTCACTTTGAAGAAGCTACAGCTAGCGAAATAATTTTTTAAAAAAACATTTATCTTTCAGTTGTAGGTGAACACAATACCTTTATTTTATTTTTATGTAGTGCTGAGGATCGAGCCCAGTGCCTCACACATGCTTGGCAAGTGCTCTACATCTGAGCCACAACCCCAGCCCTAGCTAAACAATTTTTACATAAACTATTTATTAAGATGTAAAAGCCAAAAGCTGTGGCACCTGCCTATAATTCCAGCAACCTGGAAGGGGAGACATGATTCCAAGTTCAAGATCAGGATGAGAAACTTAGGGAGACTCTGCCTCATTATAAAAATTTAAAAAGGCTGGAGATAGAATGCAATGGTAGAGCAACCTGGGTTCAATTCTAAGTACCAGAAGGGGGAAAAATAATTATGTTAGAAAAAGCAACAGTAAGAAGAAGGTATTTGATATGTATCCCATTGTTAAAAGGGAAGAAATACAGACATAATTTCTCTGTATATAACATAAAAGAAATTGGCCTATGAAGACAAAGATAAGGAGAATGTCACATGAAAACAAAAGATTACAACGATACACCTACAAGCCAAAAAAGAGTACATGAATGGCAAACCATGTGTCATTCATTTTAATGACTGCAAGAAGCTAAGAATTTCCCCTAGAGGTTTCAAAAGCATGACCCCACCAAAAACATTGATTTCAAACTTCTAGTCTCCAGAAGTATGAGACAACAGCACCCACCACAAAAGACTTAGACGTAAACTTAACAAAATGTATTTTTAAAATCTATATGCAGAGCTAGGTGCAGTGGTGCACTCCAGTAATCGCAGCAACTGGGAGGCTGAGGCCCTAAGCAACTTAGCAAGACCCTGTCTCTAAAAAAAATATATTTATTTTAAAGCAACACCCCCATGTGGCTCAATGGTTATGCATCCCTGGGTTCAATCCAGGGTACCAAACCAAAAGTGTATATGCAGAAAACTACAAGCCTCACTGGCTGAGGTGACCAAGGCACACACCTATAATTTCACAGACTCAGAAGGTTGAAACAGGAAGGTTGCAATTTCGAAACCAGCCTCAACAACTTAGCAAGACATTGTCTCAAACTAAATAAAAAATGTTGGGAATATGGCTAAATGATAAAGTGACTCTGGGTTCTGAAGGAAGGAGGGGGAGGAGGGAAAACTATAATAACCCTAACAAAACAAATATTTAAATAAATGCAGAGATATTCTATATTCTAAAACCAGAAGGGAGGTTCAACAATATAAAGGTGCAATTCCTCACAACATGATCTATAGATTCACAACACCAATAAAATTCCCCAGAGCAAGCTATTTCAATAGACATTAAAAACGGAATATAAAAAACTAGAAGAGCCAACACAATATTAAGGAAAAACAAAGCTGAATGACTCACAGTATCTGATGTCAAAACTCACTTTTAAAGCTATAATAATCAAGATAGCTGGAGGTGGGGACTGGGGTTGAGCACTTGCCTAGCATGTATGAGGCACTGGGTTCAATTCTCAGCACTGCATATAAATAAATAAATAAAATAAAGGTCCATCAACATCTAAAAAAAATTTTTTTAAAAAGCACAAAATTAGTAAAAGGATAGACACACACCAACAGAAAGCCAAGAAGTAGACACATACTCACATAATAAACTGATCTTTAATAAAGGACCAAACTAACAGAGAAAGGATTGTATTTTTAATAAATAGTGCTAGAAATGAACACCAATATGCAAAACAAAAATTAGATAAAAGTAATTTGCAGTTTATATTTTCTATACTGGCAAAATTCTTAATACCTCATCCATTACCCCATACCTGTACAAAGCTATACCCATAAGGTGATACCAATAAAAGATCACAATGGTAACATTGTGTTAAAGGTAATATTAAAAAGAAGGTATATGTGGCTTAAATGGTAGTGCTTGCCTAGCGTGCGTGACGCACTGGATTCGATTCTCGGCACCACATAAAAATAAAAATAAAGATATTGTGTCCACTTAAAACTGAAAAATAAATATTAAAAAAAGAGAGAAAGTATTAACACCATACAATTTATCATACCCTCTACCCTATCATTTCCACTCCTAGAAACTAAGGAAATGATTTCATTATAGGTAAAGGGAAAAGTACTAAAAATTATAATATAAATCACTGAATATTAAATATAATGAAAAACCAATAACTTGAAAACCCAACAATTGAGGGATCT